CCGTTCAAAGGAGACCTCAGCAGGGACTGTTGGCCCTACCACTGCACTCCTGAGGGAAATCCCACTTTCCACCAGTGCACTGGATTCTGACCATTAAGTACAACCACACCTATTGAAATTTGAGAAAAATGTATTTTCCATAATTTTTTTTTGAAGACAGGATCTAACTGTACAGTTCAGGCTGACCTTAATCTCACTATGTAGCCCAGACTGGTCCCAAACTTGGGAAGATCCTCTTGCCTTACCCTCCTGAATGCTGGTATTACAGATGGGTGCCACCATGCCAGGCTCCTACAGCATTTTACAGTTTCATTCTACTGACTATGCACATAGCTTATTGCTGATCTGTGTTTCTGATCTCTGGAACCAGCCTTTGGGCTGCAGAAGGGGACAAGTTCCTTGGTGTCTCTAAGCTTGATGGAGTTAATCACTTTGTTTCCTATTTCAGATGATTACATTTCAGATCCACCTTTGGGAGTAAGGATTTTGAGAATTACAAAAGTCATTTGAATTTACAGTGAACAGAAGAAAAAGGCATTTAAAAACTTCATGAATGAAGTATTGGTCCTGTCTGCCTACACTATGTTACAACCTTCAAGATTTTGTCTTTTTTCTCCCTCACCCTTAGCGGAGGGGTCATAAGACTTCAATTTCTTTCTCCTTCACAAACAAACCCCATAGTTTGAGGGATATCTGAAACTTTGGCTTACATAGGCCTCGGACCTCATCTACAAATCAGATTTCTAAACAGTCTGGTTATATCTACAAATACTAGCTAAGGTGTATTTCAGCTCTGCTGTACTGGAGCTTTGCAGGGAGTAGTTGGAGGAATCTAGAGGTTGTACTTTTGTGGAGGCTGAGGGACCCATGTAGACAATTGTAAGGCTTTAAATTTGGGTGCCTTCATTGAGCTACATCCAAGGTCTCCTACCACCTACATTTAAAATATTTTGATACAGGATCTCGCTAAGTCTTAAATTATCCAGCCTGGGCTAGAATTTATAATCCTCTTGCCTCAGCCACCAGAATGTTAGGATTGTATCTTAGAATGCAGTCATGTTATATTTTTAAGTTCCACTGTGAGTAAGATGATGTAGACTGATTTTTCAGTGGCTGGCTTCTCTCATTTAACGTGATATTCTCCAGCTGCATCCATCTTGTCACATACTTTTCTTCCATGAACGTAGCTACTCTCACAGTAGTAAGTTTTTCTTTAAGATCCGTTTCAAGTTATAATAATGAGAGCTGTCAGTCTCTTATCATTTGTTATCTACCAGTGCCTGGCTTATAGACCAGTTGATTCCATCCTCACAACTGCCCTACCAAAGGATCACTAACTTTACCTGCACTTTGTGGAGGAGGAGAATGGGAGGACTGAGTCACGGGGAAGCTCAGGTTTGCACAGAATCTGATTCATGTCCACATGTGTGTGTCCAGAAGCCAAGGGCCTTTGCACTACAGCTCACATGTTACATTTGCTTTGCTGTTGCTCTCCACCCTTCCCCTGGTAGATTTCAATTCAAACGAATGGTCATTTATTTAGCAGCTGCTCTGCATGAAGCTGTGTTATAGACTCTGTGGAAGAGGCACAATGCCAAATTGATTAATGTGTTTCCATGTGAGTGGCTTGTACTACAGGAATTTTTCAGTTTCTTTCCTCTGTGTTTCTAAATTGACTATGCAGGATCTGACATTGTGACATTGCCATTTATGCATATTTTGTGTGGGTGTGCGTGTGTGTGTGTACCACTTGGGGCTTTGCACCGAGCTGCATCTCCGGCCTTTTTGCCTTTTATTTTGGGCATGTTCTTGCTGAGCTGCCCAGGCCGGGCTCTAACTTGTGTTCTCCTGCTCCAGTCTCCCAGGGCCTGCAAGGTCTGGGGTGCGCCACCACTCCCGCTTCCCGCACACTGGTCTCCCCCAGGGCTTGTTACCTGTGTTTGCCTGAGGCCTCTCCCATCTCACTATAAACCTAGAGGTGTGTTTATTGGCTCCAACTGAATGCTGCTCTCACATCAGCTTGCTCCATCTTCTCCCCGGGGCCTTCCCCAGTCATGTTCTTTTCCCCTCCCACCATAAAATATTATGGTCAGCTCCCCGGGAACCTGAGTCTTTTTCGTTTTCAGCACCTAGAAATCAGAGCTCATCCGTATTGTGTACTTTTCTTGCTCCAGACATTCAGTAAGAACACTTTAACTTAATCCTCTCAAAAATGCAAGGAAAGCACTCACACTTCAATGTCCTGTACCTAGAAGAAAAGAACCGAGGCGAGGCACTGCGTGACCCCTGCCCACGGCCTCCTGACTGCTACTGCAGAAGCAGGACTTCTGGCCACGCTGTTGGACCCGAGGCTTCACGCTCAGCCTCCTTCCCAGGCCTCTGCTGCTCCACTTACTGCATTCCACAGTCATTCTCCAAGCATTGATTTAATAAATAGATTCTTTGGTTCTATATTACACAATCATAGATTTCTTAACATCTCATTATGAATTGTGTTGGGGGAGGGAGCAGGAGGAACAGAGGGGACAGCACCCAGCTCAGCCCGTGTCCCCACTGATCACACCTTGGAGCGAGAAGCAATGGCTCTGAGCATCTTCAAGGCCAGGAGGAAGCCGTCCATGTGTCCTAGCAGAGCCACCTTTTAATCATCATGTATGGATCAATTTAATGCAATACATGCTTTTCAGACAGAAGGATGACGGAATATTTTTCTTTCCTTCTGTAATTGGATCGACCCTGTGAAAATTTGCTTTAATTCCAGAGCTTCTTTTTTAGAACATAATAGACAAGTTAGGATCCGCAGTCATCTGGTCACCAATTTGTTCATAAATTAAAAAAGAATTTACTCCTTTGTGCCAGAAAATTTACTGGGTAATGGAGAAATTTCAAGAAAAAAAAAATAGGAGCAAACATAGCCATGTGTCACAGTGCAAACCTGTAATCCCAGCACTTGGGAGGCTGAGGCAGGAGGATTGTCTAGAATTAGAGGCTACTCTGTGCTACATAGTGGGTTCCAGGTCAGCCTGATGTACATAGAGTGATTGTGTCTTGCAAACCCATAAAGAGAGAGAAACAAATTTATATTTTCTTTTTAGGATGGTGAAGAAATTTGAAAATAAAATGGTAGCTGTTCTTCTTATCTGAAGAGGGAAAAAGACATGTTTGAATGTATGTGGTCCTCAGGAATACAACTCAGATCAATAGGATAACATTATAAGAAGGCTGTTGGAAGGAATGATTGTCCAAAGATGAAGTATTGTTCTCTGGACACTGACTGGCCCATTTCCTGTGATGCCAGGCCGTCTGAAGAGGGTGTTACATGAGTTAAAAGTAGGCTTCTATGTGGAAGAACTGGGATGTCTGTGAGCTGAATATACTTTGAGATACTTTCAAACCTTGAGATCACATGATCTATAACACTTGATAGCATATGTAGAAAAGCACAGGAACTCAAAGTATTAGTATAATAATACAAATTTTTATTGATTGATTGATTTCAGTCCTGGGTGATAGAATCCAGGAGCCCTCTACTCTTGAGCTACATTCTCAACCCCTTTTTAAATTTAAAACAAGATCTTGCTAAATCGCCCAGGCTGGGCTTGAACTTGCAATCCTCCTGACTCAGTCTCCCTGAGTCGTGGTATTATAGGCATGTGCCATCAAACCCAGCTCATAAGTACTTAATTCCTTTTAATAATAGCCCTACAGTGAAAGCTTTACAAAGTTGGGAGTTGTAAGTTTAGCACTCTGGGAGACCCAAGAAAGAGCACCAGAAGTTGAAACCAAGCCTGGGCAATTTAGAGACTTAATGAGACCCTGACTTGAAAAGAAAAGAAAAGAGAGGGCTGAGGGTTCAGGAAAAGGCCCCGAGTTCAATTCCTGTATGTGTCTGGGACCCAGTCAGAGCTCAGAGGAGGGAGGTTCCTGTCCCCTCAGCATCTTTTAAATGCGTATTCCAATCTTCTCGAGGACTTCAGAGATCCAACTCGGCACATTTGGAGTTAATGTTTGTACTTTTTCATGGCAGGAAATATGGTCATATTGTGCCCAGTCCAGGTAAAATGCCCCCTTCCTCCACTGGCCTGTGACAATCCACCATTGTGTCTCACAGTTTGCTGGTGTTATTTGCCTGCAAGATTTTCATGAGTTTCTTGCCTCCAAGCTCCTAACTATTGTGTTCTGCTTCTACTTCCTTGCACAGGGTTCACCAAGGAAATTGTTTCCAGGAAAATAAGACATTCTCTAGTGTGTGTGTATTTCCCCTCCAATAGGGTGAAACCTCCTTAGTGCCACACTTCATGGGACAAAGATCAGAGAGATATCCTGGGACTGAGTCAGGGCTAGAACCAAGCATGCATATCAGGGTACACGGGGCTCCGAGGACTGGGCAAGTCATGAAAGGACCCTGGTCCACACCACCAAGAAGCAGTCTACATTCAGGACCCCTTCACAGAGAGTGTCTTTTGACTCTGGAGTCATTTAATCTCAGCCTCAAGATTCCTCGAAGAAAATAAAGGATGATAATTCCTACAGCATAGGTTCATGCTGAGAAACAGATGTGCATATGCAGATTCTTATAATCCTAGATATTTCTGTTATCACTATAGAGCAGTAGTTAAGGTTATATCCATAATTCTCTTTCAACTTCTGGCAGCAGGATTAAGATTCCCTTTGCAACTCTAAGGGTGCTCCTTAGAGTCGGTCACCTGTAGGTGGTGACTGTGATATTGGGTCCCCTTCTCTGATACAAAGCAGCTTTTGGGCTTCAGAAAAGCAGTATGTGGTGTCCCTGGGCCAGGAGGGGAGCTGCCTCAGCAGCTGGTGGAACAGGAATTTCCTCCCTGCCACTTGGAGAAGCAGAGGAAGCCGTGCAGAAATACTTTGACAACCCGTTTTGCAAAGGATCTTATCAGAGTTTAACTCCCTCCCCCTAGTCCCTGTCCAGTATTTCCTTCTGGGAGGTGGGTTGGGTGAGGCTTTTGTTTCAACTGCCTGCGGAATGTTGCCTGATGGAACAGAGTAGAGAGGGCCTGTCTTTAAAAGCCCAGATAGAGGAGCTCTGGCCCATAAGGGTGCTTCCTGCCTGCTCGCCTGCAGGCTCCTGTCCTTCCTGTTGGCACCATGCTCTGCAGAGCTCCAGTCCTCTGTGCTCTGTGTGTCCTGGCTGGGGCTTTGCCCTTGCCTGACCTAGGTAAGAGGTCTTGTGATGTGTGTGTTTGTGTGTGTGGGGAGAGAGAGAGAGAGAGAGAGAGAGAGAGAGAGAGAGAGAGAGAGAGAGAGAGAGAGAGAGAGAGAGGAAGAGCCTATGAAAGTCATAAAGTTCAGTTGAGTAAAGGTGGATGGCAGATGAGCTCGGGGGCCTTGGGCAGTTGAATGAGTAAGCTATGATTTAGTTTGTGGGTTCGAATTGACCTCATGGCTGGGCCAGATGGGATTAGGGCAGATGACCAGAGAACAAGTTAAATTTCCCTATAGATCCCATCCCAGACTGATGTGAAGGAGGCCTATTAATACTATTTAATTTAGGACAAAGACCCTGGGGAGAGGTGTCCCTTATTTTACAGTGGAGCACAATTAATTTCAGAGAGCTGCAGCAGCTGGGCTGGCCACAGGCAGTGGAGATCACTGGGTCTAGAATGAGAACTTAGGAATCATTGTGAGGAATGAAACAAATATGTCCTCACCAGCCACAGGAAAAAGGAGCTTTTCACCCCCAAAGCTTTCTTTCTAGTTCTTGAATTCAGGTGCATTTCTCAGGAGCAGAGATGCTCACTGCCTTGCATTAAAATGGTTTCTTCTTCTTGCCCTCTTTCTCAGGTTGCTTTTCATACTGCTTTGAATGTGTAATGAAGGAGAATGAGGCTGGCATGGTGGCTCATGTCTAGTAGTGATATGGGGCATGTGATCCAGGGATGATATATGGACCTCTAAATAATATAAGGGAAGCATTATAACTCCCAACCTGTTAGATGTATGACACGCCAAGTTCATGTTTTCTAAAAGGGAAGAATGAATTCTAGGAACAGAGGTTAAGAGTAGGAAGAATTTATTGAGAGAAAGAGAGCTTCTGTCTGAGAAAGAGAGACAGAAGGGTCCTGAGAGGGTGGCTTGTGGACTCCGCTTCTCAAAGGTGTTTTATAGAGCAAAACCATGAGGTGAGGCAGGCATAAGGTGGGACAAAGCTGTGCTCAACTAATAAGATGACGAGAATATTTGCTTAGGTAGTACTAACCTAATAGAAATCACAAAGTGGGTATGAGGTGGGACAAAACTGTGGTCAATCAATGATTACAGAAAGTATTGTTGCTTAGGTAATATTGATTAAATGGGGATCAAGTGGGGAAGCAAGTCACTTAGCAAGTGCACATGGAACTAACAAGGATTTCCTGGCAGGAATGGGCTAGGGAGGTTTTCATCCCTTGCCCAAGGTGATCCACACCTGTTTAGAATATCAATCACTGCTCTGCATCCCAAGGGGAAGCACAGGGATGTAGTCATTTCTCTTTGTTTTGAAGCCTGGCCTTCAGTGAATGTGTTTGACTTTTTTGAGGGCCCAGCTGTGCCTAACTAACTGACTATGATATTTCTAACTAACTTTAGCTGTCTCCAACAATGGCACTGTGGAGATCAGTGCCAGCCTGGCTATAGCGAGACTCGGACTCAAAAACAAAAACAACCCCCCCCAAAAAAGCAAAAAGCTAGCATTAGTGGTTTTGTCCCCTTTGGTAGAGTGCCCCTCCGGCCACAATGACTCTGAACTTATTTTGAATATAGCCCAAGGAAGCTCTGCCTGTTCCTCTACAGATCTTCATGGTTCTGATGCCTATGTGGTTAAGCAGCCCCAGGATGTCAGGATTGGGCTTTCTATGGGACATGATGAGAATGGAGTGGAGTCTTAGCTAAAGTTCATTAAAAGAAAAAATAATCAGAATAGCTCTTTTTAGAGTTGATTCCATTCTTGCTGTATGTAGAAATAGCCATTTTACTTGATTCATAATCCCTTGGTTTTTGCCCTTAGCTTTCAGGAATCTGCAAAGTTTATGGAAGGTCAGTCTTGGAAGTTTCCTTCTGCTCCAGTCTGAACAATACAGGCAGAGGCGCAATATCGACTGCTCCTTGCTGCACTGAGATTCTCAAAGGGGGAGCACTAGTACTCTTCTGGGACTTGTGTGACCACACTGGATCCAGGGACGACTTCACATTCCATGTTTTCCCCAAGGAAGGGTAGAGCTAGGAAAAGGAAGGGTGTGGAGAAACACATTCACTAGGATGTCTTTGAGCTCTTCTTTACTTTCTGGTTCCTCTAGAATTCATCGCTTACCTACCTGAATTGGTCAGCATTATAAATGAGGTCAAACTTGATATAGACACAACCAGGGGTGAAGATTCAACAGCTGGTGTATCACAGACACATGGACCAGAGTCCACCGGAGACATATCATGGGAGGACACACAGACTTTGAGTAAGTGAAGGCCTTGCCTCAGAGGAGGTCTGGACAGGCATTGCTGCCCCCTGGCCCCCACCTCCTGCATGCCTGAATGAAACCCTGCTTTCCTCCAGTATATTGAATTCCCACCATTAACTGGTAGCCGCACCTATATTTCACATTTTTTTCCCCTAGAATTCTCTACTGCCTTGGGTCAGACATGTCCTCCTCAGTCCTAGTTCCTTTTTGCATTGCTGAAATAAAATGCCCAACACTCAAGTTAAAGGAGGAAAGATGTATTTCAGCTCACAGCTTGTAGAGGTTTCAGTGTTTAGTCAGCTGGTTCCACAGCAGGGTGGCATGGCAGAGGACATCGCAGAGGAGAAACAGCTCACGGCAAGAGAGAGGAGGCAGAAGGCAGCAAGAAGCAGTAGCAAGCCTGCCTTCCCTCTCTTCCTTTTGTATTCTATCCAAGTATTAAAACTATGGATTGGTGCCACTCACCCCAGGGGGGGGCCACTATTATCCACAATCTTAATCCTAGTATCATACCCTTAATCCACATTTACACACCATAATCCAGTCACCCTCTAAACTCCCCACCTGTGACTGCATATGGCTTTCAGGGGGCATCTGGAAACAAGGCGTAATAATAACTGAGGTCACTGTTGATACAGAGTCCGTCATAGATGAAGATTCAACAGCTGGTGT